ATCTTGTATCAGCTTAAACCAAAATAAAATATCTTCTCATAACCTTTGATCTTTTTAAATGCTTCTTGAAATCTTTTTTTTTTTTTTTTTTTTTTTTTTTTTTTTTTTTGAAAGAGGTTTTTCATCTGGAGACCAGGCTGGCCTCGAACTCACAGAGATCCACCTGCCTCTGCCTCCCAAGTGCTGAAATCTTAAAATTATAAGTTTTTACCATATTTTCTGGTGAGGAAAATGAGAACTTAATGTTGTTAAGTAGAGAAAATTTAAACGTGAATTTATTAATAATGCTTTGTTTATATGACTTACGATGCCTCTGCTTTTGAATATATGCCCATTATGGCTAATCCATAGTTACCTTAATTGGAAAGTATTCTGGTTAAGTAGGGTATAAATTGAGTTCTAAAGATGTAAGATACAGGGAATATTCACTCATGAATCAGGAGACCCATAGGAAAAGGCATGGGTGCATAAAACATGGAATATTTTGATTGTCTGGCTCTTGGAAGGCTAATCCTTCCAAAAAAGAAAAAAAAAAAAAAAGGAAGAGAAACTATGTATCACTCACACACACACACAAACACACACACACACACACACACACACACACACACACAGGTAGAAACATGGATGGATTTTGGACTTGATAAACTACCATAAGGAAATTTTTTAAGTCCACTGACCTCACCCCTGAGCTATCTCAGGGACAGAGTGTCTACAGCATGAACAAACATCTTTTAAGATTCTTCCCCTGAAGCAGAAAGCAGAAAGGATATGTGATAGGCAGGGTTTTAGTGGGGGAGGGGCAGGTAGGGGAGGACAGGAGGGACAATGGAACTGGGATTGTCATATAAAACAATCTTGTTTCAAATTCAAATAAAAAATCTGCAAAAAAAAAATATTTCCTTTAAAAAAAAAAAAAAAGATTCTTCCCCTGATGGTGTTGACTGTCACCTTGCCATAATATTCCAAGTGTAAAAGAAAAGAAGAGCAGACTCTGACAAGTAGGTAAAACAAAATCAGAAGAGTTTTGGAATATACCACTAAATCATCCTGGAAGATAACCAGAGGACCTTTGGCATCAGATGAAAGCCAGGTCCACAGGACAGTGCCCAAAACAGTCAGTCTCCACCCTGGAGTCAGACTGAGACAGGCATAGTAACAGCTTTACCAACACAGCTTTACCAACACCCCTAAAATCTCTTCCTGGGTAGATACAATTAGAATTGACCCTCATCTTTCATACATTTAAATTACCTGAGGTGGGAAGGACTTTGTCCCTGCCTCATAATCTTAAGTGCTATTAAAGGTTATTTTCTCATGCTGATTTTCCAAATTCCCATAAGCCCCATATACATCCATCCCTATATAAAGCAGAAGAAAACCATAATCTAGTGCAAAATTACTATCTCGCCACAATAGAAAAGACCACTGTGGATCTTCCTCAATTTTTTTTTTCCTATTTAGTCATTAATATGCACTGTACCTCCTCACTAAAATCATCTGACATTTCCAGTTTAGTAACCCTCTTTCTCAGGTCTTAAAATTTTTCCTACTTTATTATCTCAGTACATTAAAAGGCACTCTTCAATAAAACTAAACTCACAAATTCACAGGTATTCTGGTAGTGAACTAGTGTCACAAACCATGACATCTCTACCAACAAATGGCACTTTAGGAAGCTTAGAGAAAAGGTCAGCCTGATCACAAAAAGACTATCACATGGGAAGCCGGGCGATGTGTCAGTGGGTAGAGCACTTCCTGGAGAAGAGCCTGAGGTCAGATGCCTGGCAGCCACACAAAACCCAGGTGTGCTGGCACGTTATCTGTAACCACAGCAACTACCATTTAACATGGATAGCCACTTCAACTTAAAAACAGTCTCGTCATTATGCCTGAGATTAGACTTTGGCTTGAGTATAATATGAAATTTGAGTACTATGTGACTTCAAAAATCACAATGAAAAACAATTGGCATTTGTTCTTTTTAAAAACAAGGTTATATTCAGGCACAAATTCAAGTTTCATACTGTCAGAGCAATGCCAACATGCTGATGTTCTTGTGCAATATCCTTTCTACAAACTGACTGGGCATCATACTACAGATTCAGCATAACAGAAAAATCACCACTAAGAAACTAACAAACATTCTCAGATTAAGAAACCAAAAAACAGCTGGGCAGTGGTAGCACACATCTTAATCCCAGCACTCGGGAGGCAGAGGCAGGAGGATCTCTGTAGTTCGAGACCAGCCTGGTCTATAAGAGCTAGTTCCAGGGCAGCCTCCAAAGCCACAGAGAAACCCTGTCTCGAAAAACCAAAAAAAGAAAAAAGAAACAAACAAACAAAACCAGAAGAACAAGCAGGCTGCCTGGGGACCTGCACCACTCTCTCTGTTACCCAAGACCTAATTCTCAGGGTTGCCCCTAGTACTGCAACAGAACACCAGCTAAAGCTTCCCCTGGCTCCTGTCCACACCTCCTGTGGATCCCACAGACCATATTCCCCCTGGCCTACTCTCTGCACCTAATGACTGTGTCCCAACACCCAACTCAGACAGACACCCCCTGCTTAACCATAGGCTAAGTCTGCCATATGACCATGTAGGCTACCCATGGACCTTCTCCACTCTCTCCGTTCCCCCAAACCCAATTCTCAACATCACCGCTAACATTGCAACACACCATCTGTCCCTCACCACCCCTTCCCCCAGCCTCCAACACCAGCAAGCATTCCCTGTGAATATACCAGGCTAGCAGGTCAGGAAAACAGGTAAAACACAGACTATAGACTCTGAAAATCCAGAGAAGCAGCAGAAACCAAGGAACAAAAATCCCACCCAACCAAGACAAACCTAGAAATCAGCACCTCGATCTATAATCACCCCATGGACATCAGCGTAAGAACACAATAACACCCAGGGAGATATGCCTTCACCAGAGCCCAAGCCATCCTAACAGAGGAGGCCCTGAATATTCTGACAGAGCTGAAGCACAAGCAAAAGACATTAAATACAACTATATGAAGATGATAGAAGTCCTTAAAGAGAAAATGAAAAATCCCTTAAAGAAATCCGGAAAACACAAACAGTAAAAGAACTGCTAGAGTTATCACCATCCCTGATTTCAAGTTGTACCACAGAACTAAAGTAATAAAAACCTCATGGTATTGGCACAAAAACAGACAGAACTGAAGACCCAGACATAAACTCACACACCTATGGACACCTGATTTTTTTGATAAAGAAGCCAGAAAGACACACTGGAAAAAAGAAAGCATCTTCAACAAATAGTGCTGGTCAAAATGGATGTCTGCATGTAAAAGAATGCAAACAGATCCATATTTATCACCCCACACAAAACTCAAGTCCAAGTGGATCAAAGACCTCAAATAAAAACAGACACACTGAAAGAAAAGTGGGGAACAGTCTTGAAAGCATTTGTAGCAAGTTTTCTTGTCAGACTATCTTTGGATCTTCAGCCCCAAAATAATGACATGGAGACTTGTCAATTAATTTTGAAAGCTTGGCCTTTAGCTTAGGCTTGTCCCCAACTAGGTCTTATTCATCAAATTAACCTGTTTCTCTCAATCTGTGTTCTGCTATGTGACCTTTATCTTTCCCCGGTATTCTCAGTAACAGAATAATAAGGCAAATTAACATGACAAAGTGCAGAAATTTCAAAAGGAGACCTATTAGAATGATGGCAGCAAGTTTTGTAAGACTCAAAAACTACCTTACTGTTGAGACTTTAAGAATGCACACTGTCAATGAACACCTAAGTCCTCCTGTTTCTTTCGTAGGGAACAAGATCACCCTGTAGACACAGAATGACTTTGGGGCTGTTGTTTTGCTTTGCTTTCCAAGGTTTCTAGTGCATTGAAGTTCACTTCAAGCATTGCTTGAGAAAAGGAGGATTGCGCTCTGCATCACATCTGTGTGATGTGGGTCAGTTTTCACACTGGTCCTTAAAGACACAGATATTTAGAGTGCCTGAAGTCATCACCACTCTTCCTTGGTGACACAGACATCATGGTTCATGTCACATGTTTGCAAACTGTGCTGTACCTAAAGAAGCCTTCCCCCATGATCTCATGAGATAAAAAAGCAACTACATAAGGGGCTGCTTGCAGTATAAGACCCCTAAGGTAGACTGTCTCATCCAGATTTCTGCATAATTGATGCCTTCAAATAATCACATATGTAACCACCTTAAAGAGCAAATAATACCTAATCAATTTTAATTACAATAAAAATAATACTATAACCTCAATAATCTAACAAATACATCAGAACATATATTTTGTTCTAGATCTGTGGAAAAAAGAAAGCCTATAAAAAACAAAAAGAAATTACTCAATTTTATATTTTATCACAATCAGAAATCAATTTTATTTAGAATAATTTCACATAAAACCATTTTTAATAACCAGTTTTTACCATTTTTATGGCTACATTCCTATACTTAAGACTTCATATTTGGTAGCCTTACAAAAGACTTCATATTTGGTAACCTTACAAATATGTAATAACAAGAACAGTGAAAATACTTACAATTTATTCAAAAAAGCTACTTCATATCCTATATCGAAGGCACTAAAACTACAGGGTGACAAATTGTTTTGAGGAGTTAATGCTCTAAGAAAAGACTGACAAAAGTCTGTTTGTAAAATATAACTTTCATGTAATACAAATATATTTCTACTCAAATATTCTCATATATGTACACATGTAGCATAAGCAATGGAGGCTTAATATTTTTGTCATGTACTAGTGCTATGAATTGTGCTAAATGTTCCATATATATTATTCCTCACAACTGTGACCCCAACAAGATGGAATGGATTCCTCAGAGCCACACAGTTGGTCAATACAGAACTGATATTCAAACCCAGAGAGACTAATGCCAACATCATTTCTTAATACACATGACATAAAACACACATACTGGCTGACAAACAAGTGGCTGGCACTCAGTAGGTACTATTTATCTCTCTGTACTTACTTGGTGATAATTCTGGATTTCCTTTCAGGTTCATCATCTTTGGAATGGAAGGACCATACACATCTACATCTAACAAGCCAACCGCCTTGGACTGCAAGAAAACCAAATTCACCATAAGATTATTCAGAATGTTCACAAGACAAAAAAAATCTACACAGCAATACACCAATTAAAAAGAAAACAAAAAATATCCCAAAATCATAAACAACAGGAAATAGAGTAAATTACCTAGGATACTTTTGAATTAGTGTTATATTTCAATAGCCAACTTGTTCAGGTCTCCTGTACAGTTTCAAAAAAATTAAGACCTTTTTAGTCTAAACATGATTTTTGAGAATAAATAAGACACAAACAAAATTGGAACGATTAGTAAAAGCCTAACAAAACCCCAGATGATGGAACACTGACTTAAATACAAAATGAAAAAAAAAAAAAATCATGGGAACAGATTCTATCATAGGAAGTAAGGAATTCTACTGCATATCTGGCAAAAGAGAGAGAGATGGATGTGGCAACAAGGCTACTGGCAGACATAATCCAGGATAGCCCTTACATGCAAACAACAGTGAAATATGCAAGGAATCAAACAGCTAACTACTGCTTTCTTTGATGGCTTATCCACCTGAAAAGGGAAGACGATCCTCTGCCTGGTGCTAGTTAATCAGCAACTTTGTCAAGTAACAGAAAACAAAATTTGCTGCTTGTAAATACATTTTCTTTCTCTCCATCTCCAAATCTATCTTTGTTGGTTTTTCCCATCAATGTAAGTATGCTAATACTAACTGTAGCTCACTGAGTCTCACAGCTCTCCTCCTACCATCCCCAAACCCTAGCAAGATAACTCATAATCTCTCAATAACAACAAGAAAGTCAAGAAACTGAAACAACCCTAAATCTTCCATGATACCTTTTTCCAGACATACAATTACTTTTCAACCCTCATCATCTGATTCTGTAAATATACAAAACAAGATAAATTCAACATTTACATTCCTAATCTTACACTGACTCAATTTGCAGTTATAAGAAAACTTCTTTGTGACTTAGACCCCTGGGTGTGGAGAGGAGACTGATATGTGTCTGTATTGAAATCCCAGCCTAAAAATAAGGAAGCAAAAAATAAAGTATTTTGCTTTTTTTTTTTTTTTTTTTTGGTTTTTCGAGACAGGGTTTCTCTGTGTAGCTTTGGAGCCTACCCTGGCACTCGCTCTGGAGACCAGGCTGGCCTCGAACTCACAGAGATCCTCCTGCCTCTGCCTCCCGAGTGCTGGGATTAAAGGCATGCGCAACCAACGCCCAGCAAGTATTTTGATTTTAATAAGATGATTATGTAAAAAATTTAGTTTGAATGCACTGAGGTAGTTAATGTAAAAAAGAGAACATTACTGAGAAATTCTGCTACCTTTAACCAACAGGAGAACTTAATAGGACTATAATGGAATTAAATTCATTGTGAATAACAAATGTCAAGTGGGGCTGTTGACAGAGATATCTAAACTTCTTCTAGTACTATATCATTGTAGGACTGTTTCTGTGATAACATCAAGGACTAAAAAACTACTACAAAACAATAAATCTTACAAAATGTAAGGTTGTTTTTCCTATATTAATGTTGGTTTTACAATAATTTGAAGGAGTGGGTTTCAAGTAAAATAATTCAGCCCTTGAAATTGGTGTTTTCTGTATAAATTGAGGACATGACCACTCCAAGGTGTGAATGAGAAGATTTTTATTGTAGGTATGAGGAGAACCGCCAGAGGCTTCTGCAAGAAGAGTCCAGAGCAGAAAAAGAAAGTAGACTGAATGCAGCCAGCAGACTGGACATGGCCATGAAAAGAGAGGATCTCTGCAGTGTGTAACAGTTGCCTGTGATACTAAGAGAGTCTGGAGGGCAGCATGGGCTTTGGCATGCTAGTAGGCACCACCAAGAGCCATCTGTCCCTTCTGCAAATGACAAGGGAACTAGCTCCTTTGGCAGAGGGGAAACAGCTTCACGAATTCCAGCGGAATCATGGCTTTTGTCTAACTTCCAGAATTTGAACCCGACAATAACCAAGTGTTCCTATCCTAAGACTGCAGCCCCAATTTCGCCATTGCTAGATTTTCAAGCTTCCTTCAAAATGAGGAATCCATCTTCTATTCTACCTTCTAGAACAAAACCAGGCCTTCCTCATGAACCAACCCTTAGAACCACAGTCGAAGAAACAAATCGAGATTTGCCTTCACATTTGCTGTAGTAAGAATAGACTTTACATACATGACTAAGATGGCTAACATGCATTGTCACACACATACACACACACACACACACACACACACACACACAAATCAGAGGGAGAGCATGATTACAAGGGTTAGAATTGACATTTCTCACATCTTGCAGCAATACCACGGTGCTGTCATCGCTGCTATGGTAAGGAAGAATGGAGATGAACAGTCACAGTAACCATGTTTTGTCTTATTTAATTGTTGCATGACTTCTGTCTTATAATGAAGCAGAATGAAACACAACAAGCCAAACCTCATCTATATCCACCAGAAACTTAGCACAATCTAATTACAAAAGACTTAAATAGTGAATACATCTTTTACTCAGCTAGTTGCATTTGTGCATACACATACATGTGAGTATATATATATGTATTAATAGTATTCACAGAAAAGGCTATCAATTTGGGAAAGGGGACATAGAAGAGCTTGAGGGAGGGAAGCTGGATAGGGCTGGAGGGAGAGAAGGGAGGACAGAAAATAATGTAATTCTACTCCAACTCAAAATATATATTTTAACATTTGAAAAGAATGATATTGACCAATTTTTATTTATTTAGAGATTATAATAGCTTTTCTTAAAGAATCACCTCATAAATATTTTAATCTTTGTGGATCATATGATCTCTACAGCAGCCACTCAATATGAGCACTGGAGAACCAAAGCCTGCCTGAAGAACATGTTAGTGAATCAGCATAGCTGTATTCCAATAAAACCTTACACACACACACACACACACACACACACACACACACACACGTGCATGAGCGCACCAAAGATCTAACTCTTGGGTTCATGGGTTACAGATTTCCAGCATCCAATCTAGAGAACAAACTTTTCATGACCAAGTTAATCAACCAAGCACCAATGTACCCTTAGCAGAGTCAAGAGTAAACGGCTCTTTTTCTTTTTCTGAGGTAATAATTACATAATTTCTCTCTTCTCTTTCCTCTCTCCAAATGCTCCCATACAGCCCTCCTTGCTCTTTCAAATCCAAAGCCTCTTTTCTCAATAATTGTTATTACATGCATACATGTATTCATATGTATATTCTCAAAATATAACCTGTTGGATCTGAATGTTACTTATATATATGTTTTCAGAGCTGACAATATGACACTGGATAATCAAATAGTGTGCTCTTCCCTGGAGAAGACTATCTATCCCATTCCCAGCTCTCCTTGGTTGCCTAAAAGCTCTCTGTGTAGGCTTTTTCTTTACGGGCTTTTCCCTATCCAGTTGGCATGTGCATTACCATCACCCTTGTTCAGCTCACATTTGGGTGATCATGTTGGTAAGATTTTATGAGCATATCTTCTGATGTTACTAGGAGATTCAATTTCACCGCAAACTCCCTGATCCTCTGGCTCTTACGATCTTTCTGCCTCCTCTTCCTTAGTGTCCCCTGAGCCTAAGCTGTGGGACTTTTTGTAGATGTATCTATTGGGACTGGAATCCACAACTCTGAATTTTGATTAGTTGTGGTTTTCTGTACTGGTCTCCATCTTTTGAAAAGAGAGTTTTCTTGATGAGGGGTAAAAACTTCCTTTATTTAAGGATAATTGTTCATAGATTGTGTTGGTTTAGTCAATTAGTGGTTGTCAATTCTCCTCCAATAACTATGACTTCACTAGCATTGAGCAGTTAGCTGGGTTTCCAGAACCAGGTACAGCATACCTCTTGTTGAGCAGGTTTTAAGTCCAATTGGAAAGCTGTTGGTTACTGAAAGGTGTGTGTGCCACTAATGCACCTGTGAGATTACTGTGCCATTATGGTTGTTGCTGTGGTTCATAGGCATCATAGCTGGGTAGGACTGCTTGTTGACTCCCTCCTTTGGAAGCTTGCATGGCATCTTCTGGTACCATGAAAGCCAGACCTAAGGGAGGGAACAGTCAAGTCACTTCCAGCTCAGGGCCTTTGGACCATTTCTGAAGTGTCTTCAGCAATAGGGTCTTACCTTCCACCTCTGGGAATAACCAAGGGCAACAGCAATAGGCTGTATGTTTTAGCAGTCTCTTGGACACCCTGGCCAACAACTCAAAACAGGATTTTTCATGTCTAGGACTGTGGTTCTTGTTAGGTGGCTCTTGGTGGGAGTACCATCAGCCCAAATAAGAAAAGTTCATTAAAACTACATATGTATATTTATGCATGGAATTGTGTGCATTATTGGGTTTTTGTCCTGCTTAGTGTTTAGACATTAATAAGTAAAATCTTTGTCCATGAACAGAATCACCAAAGCCTTAAATAATGCCATACCTAGAACTGCATGACTGTTACTATTTCTATGAAAATCAGCTTACCTCCATTTTCAAATCTACAATTCAATCACATTCAAATGGTGACAATAATTTACTTTATTACACAGAACTTCCTTTCTGTGTCTGTAATAAGTCACTGACCAAGACCACCTGGGGAAGAAAGACTTTATCCAGCTTACACTTCAAGACCACAGTTCATCATTGAAGAACACACAACAGGGACTCAAGAAAGAACTTGGAGCAGAAACTAAAACAGAGACCATGAAAGCACACAGTTCCCTAGCTTACTCCTGCTGAATTACAACTAGAGCTAACACTGCTAACAATGGGCTGGACCATCCTATATCAAACAGAAATCAAGAAAATGCCTCCATGGACATGCCCACAGGCCAAGCAGTGAAGACAATTCCTCAACTGACAATCCTTCTTTCCCAGGTATGTCAACTTGGCAACTGACACTAGCTATGACAATTGTTAAGTAAGCTTCTATTTTTAATATCTAAATAGACTTTAATTTAAATTTTGAATTTAAATTCTATTCTATAGGGAAGTATATAAACA